GAGACCTTTCGTTTGAGTACCCACATCAATTTTTCATATATTTATATATATTATATATATGTATATATGACAAATATATCAAAATGCATGTGGGTACGCAAATGAAAGCTCTCGATGAGTGTAACATCGGGATGAGCTTATATCTTTAAAAATGTCAATAGTTTACGAGATACAAGGTGATTTCTTAACTATTGACATTTTTAAAGATATTAAATCACCCCGATGTTACACTCATCAAGAGCTTTCATTCGAGTACCCACATGCATTTCTATATATTTTTCATATATACATATATATAATATATATAAATATATAAAAAATTGATGTGGGTACTCAAATGACAGGTCTTGATGAGTGTAACATCGGGATGAGCTTATATCTTTAAAAAAGTAAATATTTCACAAGATACTAAGTCATTTCTTAATTATGTATTTAGAAACAGAGCATTTTCGAATGCAGCCTAAATACTTATCACCATAAATTGACTATTGGTGAAAATGATATGAAACCTTGAAAAGACACAACTCCAGGTCCAGACCTTTCTAATGATACCAAATTTAACTATAAAAACCCATTTTATCATATAAATACACTGGCCACAAAATTTTTCTTTTTCACTTAATAGTATGGATAAAAAAAATTTTTTTTTTTTAATTACTGAAGAAATATTTCCTCCCATAACCGGTCAAAACTTTCATTAATTTAGTATTCAAATGACTTAATTGTTTATGGTGTAATATTTTACTATTCATAAAATCGAGAATTAATCTAAGTATTAAGTATTAATTATTAATTATATGAAATTTTATGTTAATACAGTGCGATGCTGATTGCGGTGAAGGTTACCAACATCGGCAAGTTCGTTGCCAAAGTCCACGTGGTGAAATATTACCGGATCGTGAATGTACCACCGTCGACAAGCCTAAACACGTTAAAAAATGTTGGAATGATTTAGATTGCGTGACCAATAACCAGCATAATCATAATACCAATACCAATAATAATCATAACCACAGTCATAACCATAACCACAATAATAATCACAATAATAACAATAATAATAACAACTACGATAATAATAGCAATTCAAAAGGGCAATCACGCAGATGGCGAGTCTCTAATTGGACTCCAGTAAGTACTTTGAAAACTTATAAATTATAAATAATGTTAATATGATGTGTACTCAAGTTATTTTTTTCTCAATAATGCGTGACCGATATTTTGTTGGAGTTAAGGACTATAAAACTTTCTCTAGAAAATATAATATAATATAATATGATATACTTGATAGGAATAATTAAAATAAAAATAAATAATAAGGAATTATTAATTGAGTAAAAAATGTGAAATTTGAAATGGAGAAAGAAGACGACGTTAGGGATTATAGGGTAAATATTTTACAGTGTACAAAATCATGTGGAGGTGGAATTAAAGAAAGGAGAGTCGACTGTGTAATAAGGTGGTTTAATGGCGATAAGGAAGAAAGGGTTGGTGATGAGGAGTGTACGAGATTCGGTTTTAATAAACCAAGAACACACAGACCGTGTCAGAGGATACCATGTGACTTTACTTGGAAGGAGGGCAGCTGGTCTGAGGTACTGACTGCCCCATAAGAAAATTTCATACAACCATCACTGGTCGTTACAGTTGCACTTGGCTTAATTGGGATTATAATTATTTATTATTTATTATTATTACTACTACTATTTTGGACTCATTTAAAATTTATAATTTACTACTTAATAATCTTCAGCTGGTGATTTATGTGGGTTGTGGGAGTAGAGGAATTCTGCATGACTTATTGTAATTTACTATTTGTAATAATTATTCAGTAGATTTTACATTGTCTTGTTTATATCCTGTAGTTAGTGTTTCTCTATGTAAACTTCAATCTTATTTTCTCAATCTCAATCTCTCTGTCTTTGTCTTCTTTATTATCTGTGGTATAGTTGGATCATTTATATTAACTTAATTGATTGGTTGATTTTTATCCGTGACGTTTTTAGCGATTGAGATCTTATCGCGCGCATAATCACATTATTATTGATTATTATTTCATTACTACTTTTGTTATTATTGTTTTTTTTTATTAATGACTATATGATTGAAAAATATTGTTAGATTTTTCTAGGTGTGATTTTAAAAATGTTTTTATTGATTAGTTAGATAATTTTTTAAAGTATAATATTTGTAGAAAATAAAAAAAGAAGAATTTACTTTTTCATATATATCTTCACATAATATGAACAAAATATAAGCTCGTAAACAAGATATAAGCTCATAATGATATTATACTCATTAAGAGCTTTCATTTGAGTACCCACACGCATTTTGATATATTTTCCATATATACATACATATATATAATATATATAACATATATAAATATATGAAAAATTGATGTGGGTACTCAAATGAAAGGTATTAATGAGCGTAACATCAGGACGAGCTTGTATCTTTAAAAATGTCAATGGTTCACAAAATATTTGTTAAAATGCCCTGTCCTTTCTTAAATATTTACGTTTTTAAAGATATAAACTCATCCCGATGTTACACTCCTCAAGACCTTTCATTTGAGTACCGACATGCATTTTGATATATTTTTCATATATACATATATATAATATATATAAATATATGAAATATATGAAAAATTGCTGTGGGTACTCAAATGAAAGGTCTTGATGAGTATAACATCGGGATGAGCTTATATCTTTGAAAATGTCAATAGTTCACAAGATATTTATTAAATTGCACTGTACTTTTTTGACTATTGACATTTTTAAAGATATAAGCTCATCCCGATGTTACACTACTCAAGACCTTTCATTTGAGTACCCACATGCATTTTGATATATTTTTCATATATACATATATATAACATATATAAATATATGAAATATTGATGTGGGTACTCAAATAAAAGATCTCGATGAGTGTAACATCGGGATGAGCTTATATCTTTAAAAATATCAATAGTTTACAAGATACAAGGTCGTTCGTTAATTATATTAAATTGCACTGTACTTTCTTAACTATTGAGATTTTTAAAGATATAAGCTCACCCTGATGTAAGACTCATCAAAAGCTTTCATTTGAGTACCCACATGCATTTTGATATATTTTTCACATATTCATATATATATAAATATATAAAATATATGAAAAATTGATGTAGGTATTCAAATGAAAGGTCTCGACGAGTGTAATATCATGTCGATTGTCAAAATGTCAATTTTACGCAATATACAAGGTCATTTCTTAATTATGTATCTAAAGATGGAGTATTTTCGAATGCAGTTAAATAATTTTTTCAAGTATAATATTTGTAGAAAAAAAAAATAAGAATATACTTATTCATATATATCCTCACAAAAATGAACAAAATATGCTTACGGAAAATTTTAATATGGGCAATAAAATGGTTGAATAACAATAATATTATTTTATTGGGAATAAAATTTCATTCCACATTCCATAGTATAATAAACACATATTTAACATTAATTAAAACACTTGCATTTGTACATATATAAATAATACAAAATAAACTATAAATATTTCTGTATTTATTGTTAGTTATTTGAATTTATAAAAAAGTAATAATTAAAATTAGTTATTGTAATTTAATTAATTTCTTCGAATAAGACCTAAGTATTTACACGGCTTTATCTATTTTACTTCTCTCAATGCTTTATTTTATTTTTAAATTAATATTATGAAAATATTCAGATGTATTAATCAAGTGATACGACTCAGAGATCTTTGTATTAAATATTCTCGAGAAAAACATTGTAAATTAAATTAAATTATCAACTAAGTGCGCGTAATACATATGTTAATAATACGTCTGTCTTAACTATTATATTAACATGTTACAGTAGAATAAATATATCCGAACGATTGATTTATTAAAAGACCCGACAATATTAATTAAAAGTTTAAATAATGATAAACACCGTGTGAATATGAAATAGTCTGTCACATAAAAATCATTTATTATTAATATGTTGTTGATAATGATTCCATTTTTTTTTCTTCTTTAATTTTTATTATTATTATTATTATTATTTTGCTTACTTCAGTTCATTTAATAATTTATGCTCACTAAATTATCATCAATTAGATGATTAAATTATTATTCAACAGTAGTGAATTAATTAAATTTAATAATCACTAATAGAAATAAATTATTGTTTCGATACGGCTATTATAATAATAATTTTTTTTATTATTAATTTTATTGAAAGAGATGGAATCGTTAAGTTCATTGTGATTTAAAAAAGGAACTAGCATGTGCATGATTCAATTATGATATTTATGTAAAAGATAATAGAGAAATCATTTTTATTCCGGTTAGTTAAAGGTTAAAGTGATTATCATTAATTGACCGGTCGTAGTTATATTAAATTGTGAAAAAAAATTTTTTTAATAAATTTTTATTAATTTATTTATTAAAATAATATTAGTAATTTTTTCATTTTAAAGAATTGAAAAGAATATTAAAATATTAAAAAATTAGATTGCCGACTTGATTTCAAACAATAAAGAAGTAAACTTTTAATAAAATATATAAATAAATTTCAAAAAATTTTCTCTATTATCTTACTTGGGAAAAATGATAATACATTAAAAACAAATTATTAATTAAAGGAAGAATATTAATTATAATAATTAAAACTATAACAGAGTAATAAAGATAAATTTTATTTAAAGTGTTCAGCAGATTGTGGTGACGGAATACAAAGACGTGCTGTAACATGTCACCATATTAATCGTTACGGGTGGATAGATCCATCACCAGCGGAAGGTTGTTTATTGGATAAAAAACCTAAAAGCGAACAGCACTGCAAATTACAAAAGTGTGATGATAAATACTACTGGACTGCTGGTCCATGGAGAAAAGTAAGTTATAAAAATTTTGCTTTATTAAATAATTACTTATGTTAAATTGCACTGTACTTTCTTAAATATTGACGTTTTTCAAGAGATAAGCTCATCCCGATGTTACACTCATCAAGAGCTTTCATTTGAGTACCCACATGCATTTTTGATATATTTTTCATATAT